TCAGATTGTAGTAAAGCCCACCTATTCCTATTTTCTGTAGAGTTTTGATCATGAATAAGTGTTGTTCTTTATCAAAAGCTTTTTCTGTATCTATTGAGATGATCATGTGGTTTTTGTCTTTGGCTCTGTTGAGATGATGGGCTGCATTTATTGACTTGTGTATACTGAACCATCCCTGCATCCTTGGGATGAATCTCACTTGGTCATGGTGTATAATCTTCTTGATGATGTGCTGAATTCTGTTTGTTAGTATTTTATTGAATATCTTTGCATCTATGTTCATGAGGGAGATTCACCCATAGTTCTCTTTCTTGGTTGGGTCTCTCTCTGGTTTTGGTGTCAGTATAATACCTGCGTCCAGAAATGAGTTAGGGAGAATTTCTACGGTTTCAATTTCATTGAAGAGTTTGAGAAGAATTGACATTAAATCTTCTCCAAATGTCTTTTTTTTTTTTTCTGTTACCAGGAATCGAACTCACGACCTTGCACTTGCCAGGGAGGCACTTTGCCACTGAGCTAAATCCTCAGCCCCCTCTCCGAATGTCTTGTAAAATTCAGCTGTGAATCCACCAGGACATGGGCTTTTCTTTGTAGGTTTTTAATCATATTTTAAATTTTAATAATTGATATTCGGTTATTCAGGATTTTTATTTCTTCTTGATTCAACTTTGGTAATTCATATTTATCTAGAAATCTGTTCATTTCTTCTGTATTTTCCATTCTATGAGAGTAAAGATTTTCAAAGTACGTATTGATGAGTTTTTAAATTTCTATAAGATTTGTAGTGATTTCACCCTTTTATTACTATTGCATGAATTTGAGCTTTGTCTTTCTTTTTTTTGATGAAGTTGGACAGGGGTTTATCAATTTTATTTATTCTTTCAAAGAACCAACTCTTAGATTCATCAATTCTTTGTAGTGTTTTCTTTATCTCAGTTGCATTAATTTCTTCTCTAACCTTTATAATTTCCTCCTGTTTTTGGGCTTTGGGCTTGACTTGTTCTTTTTCTAAAAGTTTGCAGTGCAGGATTAGGCTGTTTATTTATTCTTGTTCTGTTTTCCTCATGTGTGAGTTTACTGCTATAAACTTCCCCTGAGGACTGCTTTCAGTGAATCTCACAGACTCTGGTAAATTGTACTTACATTTTTGTGTGTTTGTAGATACTGTTTAATTTCCTCTTTAATTTCATCTGTGACCCATTGGTTGTTCAGGAGTCTGTTATTTAACATCCATGTATTTATGAAGGTTTTGGAGTTCCTTTTGTCATTAATTTCCAATTTTATTGCACTGTAGTCAGATAGCATGCATGGGATAATTTCAGTTCCTTTGCATTTAGTTAAGCATGTTCCATGGGATAGAGTGTGGCCTATTTTAGAGAATGTCCCATGTGCAGCGGAGAAGAATGTGTATTCTGATGTTATGGGGTGGAAAACTCTGTAAATGTCTACTAAATTCATTTCTTCACAAATTTTATTCACTTCTGTTACTTCTTTGTTGATTTTTTTGTCCAGTTCACCTATCTCTTTGTGTGAATGGGGTGTTAAGGTCACCCATTATAATAGGGTTATTAGTTACTTGATTTTTTATGTCTATTAAGGTTTGTCTTATATAGTTGGGTGCACACATATTTATGATTGTTATCTCTTCCTCTTGAAGTTTCTCTTCTTCATTCTTATCAATTCGTTGGCTACAAAGACTGATGGAAATGCTTGTTGCATTTGTGAATTAACACTCAGTATGTACCTACTTCTCTCTCCAGTGTTTTTATGGCCTCCTATGTGCTAGTCTATGTGCTTCCTCCTTCTCAAAACTTCTGGGGTCCAAGGTTCATCCATGTTTTGTTCTCCCATGTTCCAGCAGAAGATGTTAGAGCTTGTGGCATAGTAGTCAAGCTGATCATTGTTACTGTTTATATAATTTTCATGGAGCACATTGATTTTTGTTAAGAATTATGCTACATTCTTAACTCTTCTCATATATTAACTATTTCAATCCTCAAATCCCTAAGAAAGGAAGAGTAGGTTCAAGGACCAGGCTCAACCTCCCACCTCCACTCTAGGTCTGTTAGACAGATCCAAAGTGACTACATTTCAAATTTCTCTTCCCAATAAATAATAATAATAAACTAATAATAACAATAACAAACTGCTAGAGATGACAGCTGGAATCAGGTACATGTACATACATCTCAGGAAGAGCACTGGCTGAAAGAGAAGTTCTGTTTCTTGCACTAGGTGTTCCTCTAGTCTGCTCAGACTGCGGACTCCAAGGTCCTATGCTGCAGTCTTAGAATAGAATTTCTCAGAGGATGGCCCTGGATCCTCTGGACAGATATCCACTCTGCCCTGCTCTCAGCCCATGGCTCTCAGCACAGTCTCTGAACTGGGCTGTGTAGTTTATGAACAGCATGAGAATATACTGCTGAGGAGCTAAGTAGTGGCTCAAATCCAACATGCTTTGGCCCCATGAGCCCATGGGTCTGTCTTCTAATGGAAAAACAGGTGACCTTTAAAAAATTTCTCCCAGTGCACCATATACCTAATGGTGGTCCTCTCAGGTGAAGATGAGTAAGCCTCTAAGTTCTACAGGTGATACATGTGATATAATCAGCTAAGTAAATCATCATATTTCATCCTGCTAACCCTATTACATACACACTCATGACATTCCTATTCCTTGAGCCCCCTGTTGGCCTCATATTTTCACTATTGCACTTGTCATTCTTCTGTATGCATTCTTTATATGCTTTATTGTTTATCTACCTCCATTCTCACATCCTGCTGAAATACAGTACATGGTCCATGATGGCAAAGAACTGTATCTGTTTTGTTCACTGATAGATTCCCACCTTACTGATGTGTTCCCTAAAATGAATTCTTGATCCATTGTATTTATTTAATAAAGATTTGTCAAGTGAAACAACTACTCAGTGAATCATAAAGAATTATTAGTTCTAGAGTTACCTGTACACTTGCCTAGGTTTCTTTCTTTTCTTTATCTGTGTTAGAGACTGAATACAGGGCTTCAAACATGCTAGGCAAACACTCCACCGGTGATCTTGACCCCTACCTAGCCTGGCTTTCTAATTAGGTCAGTGTCTACTTATCCAGGCTTGGGAATGTCATGAAGTTCCATCTGTACATGTATACATACAACATTACTGGCATTTTTAATTTCAGGAAGTGTTTTGTTATTATATCATGAAGATTGGGCTAAGGTGGTGATGGATGTTTTTGATATATCTTCTATCTGTTACTATTTGGATTTTCATTTTGTTCATCTGTGCTTTTCTATCATTAGGGATTTTTTTCCTTTGGAAATGTAGATGAATTGGCAATGGAGGATGGCCCATGATGACTTTTATCTCTCACATGTTTCTTCTTCACAAAAATTAAGAACTGCTATTCTGGGCAGCTGTTCTCATTCATGTTTCCTTCATTTTCATTTACTTCCTATAAGTACTACAGTAGAACCTGATACTTACTAAGCAGGATTCTCTGTGGCTCCTGTCAATCTGGTATCCTCAGTTTATCTATCATCCCTATCCAGGAATTTGATACTTTAATTTATTTCAGACTTGCCCGGAATCCTCTTAGGATTTGGTGGTTGCTATTCTGTGGAAACTGACTATAGGCTCCAAAACAAGGACTCATGTTCACATGCCTCATCACTCATTTTCATTTAATCTGAAATCTCACCATTAAGATAGTTATCTTTTGTGTTAAATTTTTCAATGCTTTGGGAGATGCCATATATTATTTCTGAAGTTTTTCCCTTTGACAACCAAGAGTTGTTTTGCTATTCCCTTTCTTTACTGAAACCTTCTTTTAGCCAGCACTCAACAGCTGATCTTTCTTAGACTGCTGACATGGCAAGGGAATATTCTCAGATTAGGGAGGAAGACTCTTTGTGTTTACTGCTTGGTCACAGAATGGGTGATGAACCAAATGGTCATGTATTCAGCCTGACTGTATGGCATAGTCACCTACTCTCTCTTTTTGGGTAGCTTTTGTCTCTATGAAATGTGGTCATGCCAAAACCATGCTTTCTGTAATCATAAAGTCCTCATTTTTTTTTCTTTGCCATGTGTTTCATGACCTTGAAAGGCATACATTTGTTTGAAGGCACCATAACCCTCCCATTACTGGAATAGCCACACAATAAAGAACCTCAAATCTCAAGTCAAGAGAAATGAGCAAGGCCTCACAGGTTTTTAGTAGCAGGAAAGGCCACAGATCAGACATTACGCCAGATGTGACTGTCACCTCCCACACAAGTGGATAAATACTAATAATTATATAATACTTCATTCATTCAACCCCTCTCTGAGGTTGGGAAACAGGTCACTTTCCTCTTCCCTCTGTTCAAACCAAGGTTGCTGCTGGGGAAACAGGAAGCAGATACTGGAAAGAGAAAGACGAGTGTATTTCTGAGTCTTGTTTAGCCTTTCTGCTTCTGGATTGAAACAAAGTAACCTCCTGAGGATATAATTATTTTCAAAAATAATTTTATAGTCTACTTCAGCCTCATAGGGACCCTACTGGTGAATATTCCCATGGCAAAAAGAAGAACTGACAAGTGGCTGAGGAGGAGGATGTGGGCAATGGAGAGAGGGTATAGGGTGCAGAAGTGGAATGGGGTAGAAACTCAATCTTGGGTTTCTATTTTCTGCCTTCACATCTTTACCCCTATGGCTAAGACACAGTTGTTTCATCAGTTAGGGACATGAACTTCTAGTCTGCTTGAGACAGCTGAGATGGGAGGAAGAGAAAATATGATGGAAAGAATTGTGGTGTGAAGACTTAACATTACAGGCCACTAGCATACCGATGCTGACAGTTCTTCTCCAAGCCTATCAAAGTCAGTAGAATAAAGACCTCATCATTCTCTTCTGCTGTGTTTACTTTCTGGGATAATGAGTAGATTCTGCCAGCAAGGCAAAAGAGCTGGTACTAGGAAAGGGGCTAGCACAAGGATTAGCAGAATCTTGATTCTTTTTCTATGGTTGATATTTGCACAGGAAGTGTTGGTGCTTGTTGCAGTCATTTTTGTTCCAAGCTAAAAAGTCTGTAAGAAAAAAAAACATGTTTAAACAATTCATATCAGTATTGAGCTTACCAGAATTACCTGGTTATTTTTCCTAGAGTCACGGATAAGATAAAGTGATAGTTATGTTGTGTGTCAGTGTGGCTAGTTATGATACCCAGTTGTTTGGTTTAGATATCTAGCAGTTACTAGTTGTCCAGTGGTCTAGATCCCATTGTGAAGGTATTTTTTAGATATTGACAATTGCATCGGCACACTTTCAGTAAAGCAGATTGTCCTCCATAATATGGGTGGGCCTTATTAAGAGTTGCACACCTTAAGGGAAAAGTCTGAAGTCCCATAAAGCAGAAAGGATTCTGCCTCCCATCTCTCTTTGGACTCAAGACTGCTTCAACTTTCCAGGAATTTCCAGCCTGCTGGCCTGCCCTGTGGGCTTCAGACTTGCCACCCCACAACTGCATGAGCCATTTCCTCAAAATCAATTCCCTCCTCTCTCCCTCATCCTACTATTTCTGTTTGTCTAGAGAAATCAGATAACACAAATTCTAACTTAATTAACAACCACCAGAAAGAAAAATTAATTAGATATCATGCCCAATTGCAGAAGTTCCCCTCTAGCATGCTATGGGGGAAAACAGGACTTGACATGAATCTACTGAAAACAAGGGATTCTTTTGTGTTTAAAGTAGGTTACAGGGAGGGCCTGGGGATGATCTTTCCTAAAGTCCACAGCTGAGCTTTAACAAGTTGCTGCTCAAAGTTCAAAGACTTCAAAATGGTTGAAGTCAATCATGTCCCAGCAGGCCATCTGTTTATAAAGAAGGGCTGAACCAGGAGCAGGTGGCCTTTTGAAGAACTGAAGTGTTTTTGAGGAGAGGTCCAACTGTTTCTGTCCCCAAAACCAAGTTCCTCAGATCATTTGTCATCCTGGGGTGTCTGCAGCAGAGCTAGAAGTCTTTCTTCAGTCAGGTGTTTGCTTGGGCTCTGACCTGCATATCTGACCCCGGGGCTGGTGTGTGCTGAATGTGTATGGAAAGATCTTGGGAAAAGGAGATGTTAAGTACCCTCTTCCAGTTCTCAAGAAGCACAGAGGATGGGGCTACCCATGCTCTCATCCATGGGATCCAGAGCTGGAGCCATTTAGTGTAAATGACCTGGGGACTACAGGCTTGCTGGTACTTCACAGTGTGAAAGCCAAGAGAACACACCCAATGTTGCTACTGTAGTCTGGATCCTTCCCTGAGAAAGAATTTCACTAAAGCTAAAGAATCTCATCTAGCTCATTGCTGATTAGGGTGCTTCTTGGGTCTGAATGTCTCCTAGGTGGGTCCTTCAAGGTTCCATCCACAGAGAAAACCAGAAGAAGGCCAACTTCCCCCCAGACACCCACACAAAACAGTATTTGTGTTCACTTTATTCTTCCCCAGTGCCCCACGGCACTGGTGGAAGCACTTTACATGGATGAGAATGACTGAAACAGTAATGTCTTTGTTTTCATAGAGAAACATCCAAGACACAGAGAAGTAAGAAATCTACAGAGGGTCACAGAGCTCAATTAGGTAGAGGAGCTGGAAATTCTACCACAAACTAGATCGAGCATGAAATTTTTCCTTGAACTGCCAAACCCTGATTATTATTAAATGTCCTAAAGTGAATGAGTGGTAAGTCTACAAACACTGTTAATCCCAAAAGTTGCATTGCAATGTAAGGAAGAGTTTCAGAGGGTGGAAGAAAAACATAGAATAAAATGTTTTTTAATAGGAACTAAAAGGAAATGAGCCCTGTGGCATAGAGAGAAGTACATGTGGAACTGTATATTGGGGTAAAAATATTAGAGCTTTTGAATTTTAAAGAAAAAAAAAAGCAGAAACTTTGTTACAGCTCAGCTGTGGAATTTTAAGAAAAGTAATCTCAGATCCTCCCTGCAACAGTCTGGGAAAAGAATCCATTCTACAAATATACAATAATACTGATGGGGCTGAGGCCAAGGTTCCATTAAATTCTACCCTCCTCCAGTTTATCTCTGAGCCTTGATTCCTTCCTGGTGGTTTTCTGCCTTGAGAGCCCACATTATAATAGCTGTGAGCTAGAGAGCAGAAACTGGAAAAGAGCTGGGCTCTTAGAGACCATCAGGCATCTGGTTCTGATCAACACAACACAAACTACTTTACTGTCCACTGTGCTGATCTGATCATGGACTGACAGGGAAAGGACTCTTGTCTGAGAACCTTGCCCAGTTCCTGAGTCCTTGAGTCAGGCCCTGTGAAAGCACATTTCTTGGTTAGCATACAAAGTGTCACCAGGATGGTCTTTTAACTAACTGGGATATTCTCAAATGTACAGTTGTTGACATCAGCTATCTCTTCATCTTTAACTGTCTATGTTCACGTTTTATAGATAAAATCTTCTGCATCACTTACTAGCTGTGCTCCTTAATGGCTAGTGAATCTGGCATCGGCAATATGTGGAGATATTTTTGGTTACATCTAGGGATGGGAGTGATACAGAAATCTACTAAATAGAGATCAAGGATCCTGCTAAACTTCTCACAATGTATGGGATAATTCTCCCACTAACAAATGATCCATTTCATAATCACATTGGAGGCAAGATTGAAAACCTTAATTTATCAGCTTAACAGAGAGCAAAAAATGAAAGCAAACAAGGGAAAAAAGGGGGCATGAGTGATTGACTATATTTAACCTGCAGCTGAGGTTCTGACCACTGCATGTTGGGGACAGGACTCACAGAAACAAACAGGAGGGAAGAGCCCAGAGTGGACTCTTCTTCTTGGACTTCTAGGGCTCATGTGGAACTTTAATTTCAAAGTCAAGAGGATTTATATTTACTCCTTACAGCCTGGGTTTTCCCAAATGGACACATGTTCCCTCATAGTATACAATATGATTTTAATGTAAACATAGATAAGAAAAAGTGAGTGGCTGTATAGAAAATGTAGAAAAGTAGATCGACAGCTAGTACATTATTAGAGCAAAGGTGCTTAAGCGGTCATAGACAATTGCTGCTTGGTAAATAGTGTCTGTGGTAAGGTCATTGCTCTGTAGAAGGACAGGCTTGCTGGTATAAAATACAAAGTGGGGGAAGGAGGGCGAGGATGTCTAGTTTTGCTCTTAATAGGTCAAGGGAAGGAGCTAAGATTTGGAAGAGGGAAGTAGGGTGCATGGGAACTTACTTTTGCTGTAGCTCATCTCAGCACAGTGCTTGTTCTCACCGGTGGATCTGTCACTCCAGAACCTGTTCAGGTATATAGCTCCATCAAGCCACTGCCACTGCTGCCTCTAAATAATAGGAGACGAGAGAACTGTGCAGATAAATTGGCTCACCTGCCCACAGCCACTGCTGTCCCTTAGCCCCTTAAAGTGGAACTGTCATTGCAAAAACTGAGAAAAGGTAGCAATGTAATAAAGAACAAAAGTTAGAAAAGACACTCCATTCAATAACTAAGCAGAAAAATTACAGATATTTTAGTATATCTTCTTCCGGCATAAATTTTGGTGGTTCTTTTTTTTTATTTTGGTACTTAGAATTGTACCTCCTGAGCTACTTTCCTGGCCTACACTTTCTTTTGAGACAGGATCTTGCTAAGTCATTAAATTGATCAGGCTGGGGTCAAACTCATTATGCCCCTGCTTCAGCCTCCCAGAGTGCTGGGATTATAGACTTGCACCACCAAGCCTGGCTTGGTATAAACTGTTTTTGCATAGGTACATTTTTATGTACTAAAAAGTGTAAATGTGTACTCAAATTTCTACCTTGTTTTGTAAACCTTCTTTTAGTGGTAAGATTATATGATGATTTACCTTAAAATTATTCTATTGATTGGTAAGTATGTAGTTTCTAATTTATATTATTATAAAAATACTACTATGACCAATTTTGTTCAAAAGTCTGTTTGGGTACTTAAAATTATTTTCTTACATAGAATTCCAGAGGTAGAAATAATGAATTAAAAGCTATGAATACTTTAAGTTTATTAATATACATTGCCAAAGTGCTTTCCAAAAGCAATTCAATTGTAAGATTTTATAACCTCACCAATTGGCACAAAGATAATTTCTTCATTCCTCAAAAAGGCTACTCCTTAAGACAAAGTAACAGTTTCATAAACTGATAAATCAAATTATATCAGTTTTAGTTTGCATTTCTTTGATTACTAGAGATAATGTAAAATTTTTAGAATGTGTATGAGCCATTTATTTTTCTTAGTCAAAAATATAACAGTTACACTACAAAAACATCTTATAGAAATAAATGTAAATATTTCTCTTACCTCTGAATGACAGAGTTCTGACTAATTATAATGTCAGTGCATAAAAATGTAAAATAGCTGATGGTCAAATAAATATCATTAACTGTATAAAATATTTGTAACAATGATGGTAGAAGATTGCTAACTTTTCTACAATTTTCAAGAAGACAAAAATATGAAAATATTTGTAGGTAAACACTAAAAGATATTACTCATGACAGATAGTATATGAACCTGTGGTAACTTCAGCAGTTTTATCAAGGTACAGAAAGTTCTAGGGCCCTCGCCTGTCTTCTCTGTGTTAAGTCTACAAGCTCCACAGAGAATCTGGAAACTGCAGACCTCAGCAACCAGCCACTCCTTGTGTGCCATTCTTTACAGCAGGGCAGTGATGGAAAATACAGTGGGATTCCAGTGGGGAAAAAATTAAGAATGACAGACAGTGACAGTATAAGGGAAAAGGTTAACTGAAAGTTTTCAACTTTAGCTCAAGACCTAATAGGAATTTAATTAATCTGAACCTCATAATAAGGCTGTGCACTTGCACACACACACACACACACACACACACACACACACACACACACACACATACACTTGTAGAAATTTCTTATTTATTTTTGGAAGACTCTGGAAAGTTGGAAATTTTATATGCTAAGATTTAGGAGAAAATTAATTCAACAGATGTTCTGTACAATTTAAATCCTATTCTCCACTGAGGTATGCCAGAAAGCCTTTTTCCACAAAGGGACTCTCATCCTGGTCTTGCCAAAGTGCGTTTGCGGGCCAAGCTGGGGTTACCTTCTGTGGGTCATGCAGGCCAATCCATACAGGCTGATTTCTTTGATAGCCACTTATGTACTTTGATATGACGCTAGCTTCCTTTAGATTCAGGATAGATGCCAGATGGGCTCCATTTCCATATGATTGACACTCAAGCTGCACAAAGGAGAGGTCTTATTAATGATGCTACGAGGCTTCAATGGACAGCCCTCTTCTTGGAACCTAGTGTGTCAAGCAGAATGGGTTCACACAGCTCCTCCTTCTCTACAACTTGGGATCTAAATCCCTCAGGAGATGTCTGTCACCATAGGAGGAGGCACAGGGTACAGAGTGTGGTCTCAGAGAAAGAGGGAGCTCAAGGTGAGGGCAAGCAGTTTACAGTCTGAGAAAGAGCCTGAGATCCTGGTCTTGTCTCCTATTAGAGTATATGACCTTGACAACAAGTTGTTTATCTGAAGCTGATTACAGAGTTTTGGGAACGTCTTTTCTTAGTTTCTCTGTCTCTGTGTGTCTCTATCTCTGTCTGTCTGTCTCTTTCTCTCTTCTCAGGACTCAGCTCAGGAAAACAGTGTACAGCGCAGGTTTCACTGTTTTCTGTGCTAGCTAATATTGGTAAAATCTTGAGAAACTCATTTATGTTCATGCTGCATTGAAATTTTTATTTGAGGGGCTGGGGATTTAGCTCAGAGGCACAGTGCCTGCCTGGCAAGCTCAAGGTCCTGAGTTCAGTTCTCAGTACTGGAAAAAAAAAAAAAAAGAAATTTTCTATTTGAATACCATAATCCTGCATTCATCTCATACTTCTCTAATCTCCAGTATCTATCACATGGTAGGTGCTCCATTCTTGCTTTTTTCTTTTTGTCAAGTTATACACAAGCATTCTGACACTATTCTGGGCCTCGGTTATCATAACTATATGGCCTGCCCTAATTAGTCACGTTTGTTAACCACAATTCAGGGACAGCATCATTCACTCCCACTTCTTTGGACTGGCTGTTCTGCATGCCTCAGACAATGCCTCAGTGAATAGAAACCACACATTTATGGGACATGTGGAGCAATGAATCTCCCATTTGACTGCTTCACTTTCTGTGAAGCAGTCCTGAGGCCTCTGCTCCATGCCCATCTGTACACTCCTCTCTTTCTAGCATATATTATAGAGGAATTCAATTATTCTTTTACAAACTGCTATTCCTCACTTTCCTTTGATCTGTGCATGGCTAGCATGTGTAGGACAGTAGCTATTGCTTATTTATCCTTTTGTCATCACAACCATCTGGGGTTGGACACATAGTATCAGCTTCATCAGTGCTTACAAAACAGAATGAGTTGGACACACAGCCCTCTGCTCTGCTTTTCACCAGCAAGGCAGGTTCTCTTGAGTGCTGAAAAGAACCACTGATTCCGAATCAAATGAGTTCTGGGGCTCTGGTTGGCCTTTTGCTGTATAGCCTCTAACTGATCACATTCCTTACCTCAGCATCAGACCAGTTCCTCAGCTTCCGGAAGTATCCATAGCAATTGGACTTGTAGTAAAACCATCCAGCAGCACAGCTGGGTCTCATGATCTCTGTGCATTAACAAAAGATAATTTCAAGTTATGGTGGTAAGACAATCAACGTCCAGACTATGCATAGCCTATAGTTACAGAACCTTTGAATGAAGGTTAGGAAAGACCTTGCTGCATTACTAAAAATTTATACTGTTAGTCTTTCTCCCTACCTTCCTCAAAGGGATGTAGGGCCTTTTACCAGAATTGTTGTGCTTTGAGAAAAAAGGAAGTAATCAAAGCTTTCTGGGGGCTACTGGATACTGGCTCTCAACTGGTACTGATTCCAGGAGACCAAGAATGCCACAGTGGTCCAGCTGTCAGTGGGAGGTAAAAGAGCCCTGATATCACACCTGGTACTCTTAGTGCAGTTCAGTCTGAACGCTCTTGTGGACTCTGCACTCAGCTTTCCCTGGGAAAATGCACCAGGATCATCCTGTACCACCACAGCCTTCATCTCCTCTGCCCCCAGGTAGTAACAACAGGGGTACCAAGACCCCAGATCTGGACGGGCTGAGGGCAAGGAGACCTGAGAGTATGTTTCAGGCAGGACAACCTATGATCTCTCCCTCCTCCCACACTTTTTTCTTTCTCTCCATGTCTCTGTTTCTTTGAGGAATTTCTGTCTCTAAAGATCTTTTCACCTCTGTGTGTGTATGCATCTCTGTGTCTTTCTGACTCTGTGTATCTTTCTTTCTTGCTGTCTCTCCACTCTGTATCTGTTTTATTTATCTTTGTGTCTTAGGTGTCATTCTCATAACTCTATCTGTGTCTCTGCCTCTCTTTTTTTCAATTTTCTTCCTTGTCCATCTTTCCCCTGCCCTTGGTCCAGGTCTTACAGTTGAGATTATGCCCCATCTGGTAGAGTCATTTAAGCTCCTAAAAATGCAATTAGCAGCTGCTGTGCAAAGGCCCTGCTGCACCTTCTATTACTCCACACATTTACTGTATACTGGGTTCCAGGAAGATTATATATATTTCAATCATTTCCACAATAACCCTTACTTCCCCTTGTTCCAGACAAGGAAACAAATGCAAAAGAACATATCATATCCCACAGCAAAAAAGTGATGGAGACAGTCTGATTCTAAGTAGGAGTTCTTAGTCATTTCAGTCATCATGCTCAAGCTATTTCTTTAAAAGCCCAGATGTACCAATCAGATTTACTCAGATTTATTTGTTTAATTACCAGACTTTCCCTGAGAGTTAAAGATGGGTACACCCACTGTACAAGTAGAGAAACCTCCTGTGAAAGATGAATGACCAGCTGAAGTCATCAGGTGGGGAATTGGATGGGATCTGGAGGAGGAGCCAATGCTTTCTTAGAAGCCTAGAGTCCTATCTCCACCTGTCAGGGTGCTAGAGCACCTCATCACTATGCATGCAGTGTCAAGAGGTTTCAGCCCTTTGCATTTGGCCTCTGTTACTGTAATAGGTGTTCTGCTCCACAACTTACCAGATGTGTAAGCTTGGGAACATTACTTAACCCTCTTTAGCTGAAGTTTTCTTGTTTGTACAATGGGACTAAGAGTATACTCCTTTTTAGGTTGAACTGGGAAGGTTAACTGGCATAATGCATATACAATGATTAATATAGAGCCAAGTATAGTAAATAGTAGCTAGGTCATCTCAGCATCAGAGAAACAGGAAACCCACTGGCCACATAGCAATGGCCGCAGAAGGCAATGCTGAAGAAAGGGTTGGGGCAGCCTCTTGGAGTCTTGCACACCCTTGCATGGTTTAGAAATGGTGGCGAGTACCCAGGGCCTGCAAAGCCATAAATGGTTGAGAGAAAACCAGTGGCTGGAAATAGGTGTGGGTTTGAGGGCAGAGACCCACAGAGGACAAGGATAGGCTAAGGGAACACTACAGCAAGCACCACAGTCTTAATCTGTCGGGGCCAACATGATGCCCCAAAATCCTATTTCTCCTTGAATTTCCTTCCATTGGATCTTCCCCTTAGCCAGGACATTTCCCAGTGGGAGAAGAGCTAATTTGCAAACAGCACTGAGCCTCCGTGCTCAATAGAAGCAATGCTCAAGCAAGGATCCCTCATTCTCCTGTGCACAACTCCCAGCAAGGCCACAAGGGACTGTGAAAGGCTTCTAGGAGAAAGAGCCAGTCTTAACACCAAATGGTTTGCTGTGTGTAACCTTGGGCAAATCTCTACCTTTGCCCTCACAAAGTAGAACACCAGATGAGCACATATTTCATTCCCTTTCATTTCAAATATTCCATGATACTTATTTTCAATATATTTAGTTTTCTTCCTTTGCTGTCTCAATCAGTAGATTCTACATCCTTCCCACTTTGTTAAGACATTGCTTTATACTTGATGCTTTGTTGGTGAATCTGTCAGAACCATTTCTCCAAGTAGGTTGTATGCAGGTCCCTTGAAAGAACAGAATTCCTGCTCTGCCTAAATAGGAAAATAGTGCCTAAATATTTGAATGTTCTGATTATACCTATCATTTATTGACAGTTGGTTAACAGGTGGCTTAAACTGTACCTTTGCAATAAACTTGCAAAATTAATTTTACAATTTACATGTAATTGATTATGTAGGTATGGCTTACAATTCTGTGCAGTTGTTTTTGTTTGATTCTACAGGCTTTGAATGCTTTACCACATCATGCTGTTTTTCATTCCCATCTTCAGTACCTAGTTCCTGCAGTGCATAATGGATTTTGGTGGTGGGTGTGGTTGTTTGGTAGGTCTTTATTGTTTTGTTTGGGGTTTTTGACAAGTGGATGGCTGAGTTGCATGGGCTTTGCAATCACTGACCATGGCCTCCAACCCGACTAAGTGACATACTCACCACCCAGAACTTCTGAGCCAGCTACCCAGCTCAGCAGAAGGAACAGTCGCAAGCCTTTGGATGCCATCTTCTTCCTCCCCTGAAGATGGTGCTGCAGACACTTCCACTCCAAGGAGCTGAGTCCTAGTTAAGTTTGTCTTTGAAATTCCTGGTTTCTCCTAGATCTGCAATCTGAACATATCTATATTAGTGAGAATGACCTAGGACTTTAGAAATAAAATTACATAGGAAGATAAAGAATATTTTTCTGGCTACATTCAGATCTTACCATGAAAAGAGTATCAAGTTAAATGTAAATATTTACAAAATTTAATTCATGACATTTTATTCTCACCCACAAGGCTTTCTGGACCAGCACCAGAGAGCTTACTATAGCCAGCTGAGCAGTTTAATAGTCTGAATGGAGGCACACACTTTAAGCTATAAGAGTACCCACCCCAGTTATTTTCAAGAGAGCCAGTAAAGGTTGCCCAGATTAATGTACTCCTGCATGAGGTTGTGATGGGTTTTCTAAAGTTAAGAAAGTCAAATCAAGGGTTTTAACACTGAATTTCTTAATGTTATTCAGAGTGAATGTATGGTCCAAGGCTCACATTTCACAGAATAGAAGCTCTGAGGAAGATGGGAATTAAGTCATTTTTTCACTGTCACCAGCTACAGCCAGATTTGACATGAGCACTTTACACTGGCTTTGTAACACTTTTTTCTTTTTTTTTTTCCAGAATATAACTTTGCAACATCTGAGAACAAAGACAGCCAGTAGGCCCTCTATCTTTCTGAAGCCCTCTACTCTGATTTAACAGTGCAGCTGTCTCTCCTCCTTTTTTCCCCTTTCCAATACAGTGTCCAGCAAAATGTCTTCCTTTCCTTAAAAAAAATAGCTTTGTTATCTTTTCCTTACTATAAAAACATGGATTATAAAAAGACCAACTTAAAATTAGAAAATAAGAAGTAAATTTCATCTACAGATAATGTGGTAAACAGCCTGCAAACATTTATCTATGTATGCCTCAATGTACAATTTTATACAAATTCTTATTTTTGTATTGTTTTTATTTTGTTTTATAAATCAGTTTTGTTCTCAGTAAGAACTTGTAATGAACTTTCTTGCATTCAAATCGCTTAATGCAGATTTGATTCTGTCTTTTGGATAAATTCATTTACACAGGGTTGCAGAGTCACAGAAATTGCATGTTTTAATTTTGCAACCCTTTGCTAAATACCTTCTGAAAGGTTTTATCATACATTCTAACAATATTTGGAGTGTTTGTTTTTTCAAGCCCCCAATATATACCTAATTTTGTCTTTTTTGCTGTGATATTTTAAAGAAGATCATTAGTGTTTCGTTAATATCTTCAAATTGCTAATGAAATTGACAAATTGACTAGACTTTCTTTGTGAATTTTCACTTTGCAAATTTTTCTATTTCCTTATTTTTTCTTAGTGATTAAGCCCCCAATATATACCTAATTTTGTCTTTTTTGCTGTGATATTTTAAAGAAGATCATTAGTGTTTCGTTAATATCTTCAAATTGCTAATGAAATTGACAAATTGACTAGACTTTCTTTGTGAATTTTCACTTTGCAAATTTTTCTATTTCCTTATTTTTTCTTAGTGATTTAATCACTCAAAACTTAGAGACGTTTTGTAATGTATGTCTTGTACATGTTACTAGCAGTATTTTTTAATTTCACTTTTCTCTTGTTTATAATATATTTTTCACATTCTGAAATTTTCAAAAATTATATTGTTGCATGTATGGTCTCATAATATTTGGAATTTGCTTCAGAAAGACTGACCACCATTGTTGCATTAGGCTAAAATATTCACCTATATTCCCTTCTTTTTTGTCTATCTGAGCTTTATTTTAGTGTAAACATTGAATTGGGTTATAGATTTTCTTTTCATGTAATTGTTTAAATTACCAATTCATTGACTTCTTATTTGACTATACTTTATGATTAAAAAATCAGATAATAGGGATTTAGGGGAAATGGTACAATTTAATATTTGAAATGGAAATTTTCCTGGAAAATCTACTCTGGGGGTGTATCTGAACACTTTTTAGTATTAACAAAGAAGGATACAAAGAGCAAAGGTGCAGAATTGTGATGTCTCTTCCCCTTGGCCTTTTTCACTCTTTATCATTGCATGAACTCTGCACTCCTTTGCTGAACTTTCCTCCCAAAATTAGTGGGGTATTTTTAATTTCTTGAAAATGTAATAAGCATAAATTATTTGTCATGCTCTCTGTGGAGAGGGAGCTATAGCATCTTTTTCATTTTCATTAATCAAAATTTATTTTAAACATTCTGCCTATCTTATCATGTTAAACCCCCATAACTAGGCTGCCTTCCAGGTATCATTTAATTATTTCACAGTTGATGTTCTTTGACATTAAATAATCTTTCCAGAGTTGCACAACTACCAGACTGCAGATCAATGATTTAACCAAGATAAATGCTCTTTACAATACGGGAAAAAAGAAAATAAGCAATTCAAATCAGACAATACAGCGACAAAAGAATCAGTAACATTATTACAAATTTAGCTTGTAATTTCTGGCCCACATATTAGCTGACCAAGAATAGATGTTCACAGAAAGTTCTCTGCACCTAACCACAAAAAGATTACCTGCTTGGAAGGAAGGCTCTGAGGACCCCTCCTTCATCAGCTTCTCAAGTGGTCCCGGCAGTCTCTGGAACTCTTATATCTTTATGCTTCAGGATTCAATAATCATTGTTTAAACTATAGAGCAATAATGTTAATTATCAAGGATAAGTCTTATCTACAAAAAAAGAACACTTTGAGTGATTGCTTGGGAACGGATGCAAGTTGCGCTTTGAATCCAGGAAAAGAACCTCTCCCTGTGTGCAAACAGAATCTTTCTTTTATATCCCAGCTTATTGAGATAAACTATATCCTGTAATCTTCTATCAGCTAATCCTCTTCTCTCAGCTTCACTTTTTTGGTCTCTGTTAGCTTTAATTTTTTTTTTTTTATTTTAAAAGTAAAAGGAGGAAAACATTAACAGGCAGACAACCTTTAACAAAATAGCAAAAGAACAGTACAGACAATACAGAGTTACAAACAAAGTGGAAGGAAATTAACAATGCTTGTTGTATTACATATTGATATCTTCAAAGTGATTTCTCATGAAAACAGATACAGACATGCAATATTGATCAATCAAGGACTCATGAACTGTTTCTTTCAGCAAAGAAATAGAAGACAGTAGATCAACTATGTTAACTATCTTGTATATGCATACATACAAAATTTCTCCTTCCTTCCCTTTTCTTTTCCCACACCCCAGTTGCCCGTGACCTCTCAGTACTTTCCTATCATTTCACAATGTCTATCATACCTCCTAGTTTAAATGAACTCTTTCAGGTTTTACACTAGTCAAACAATGTGGTGCTTGCACATGCAGGTTTGATTCTTTTCACTTATGAGTATGGTTGCTAGTTGTGACCATTTACCTATAAAGGCCTCGAGTTTATCTTTCTTTATAGCTAAGTAATATTCCGTTATGAGAAAGGACAATAATTTTCTCATTCAATCCCCGGTGGATGGACATTTAAGTTGCTTACACAATTTAGCAATTACAAATGGTGCTACTATGAACATAGGCGCACCTATACTGCTGTGATATGATGTTTTTGGATCTTCTGGGAAAATACCGAGAAGGGGAATAGGTGGGTTGAATGGGACCTCTAGACCTAGTTTTCGGAGGAAGCTCCAAACTGATTTCCACAGTGGTTTCACCAGTCTGCATTCCCACCAGCAGTGGAAAAGGGTTCTTATTTCTCCACAGCCTCACCAGCATTTGTTATTGGTTGATTTCTTAATGCTAGCCATTCTAACAGGGGTAAGGTGGAATCTCAATATTGTTTTAATTTTCATTTCTCCAACGACTAATGATGTTGAACATTTTCTCAGGTATATGTTTTCCATTTGTATTTCTTTATCTGAGAAGTGTATGTTCATCTCAGCTGCCCATTTTTGGATTGGGTCTTTGAATTTGGGAGGGCTGATATTTTTCAATTCTTTACATGTTCTAGATAGAAGCCCTTTGTTTGAGGGACAATCAGCTAAAATTTTTTCCAAGTTTGTGGGTTTTCTTTTACTCTGCTGGTGATTTCTTTAGATGTGCAGAAACTTTTCAGTGGGATGAGATCCCAGTTGTTGATTCTTTCAAGTGTTTCATGTGCAATTTGGTTTTTGTTCATGAACTCTCTGCCTACCCCTATGTCTTCAAGGTTTTTACCGACTTTCTCTTCCTATAGATTTACTGTTTCTGGTTTAATATTGAGATCTGTGAACCATTTTGACTTGAGTTTGGTGCATGGTGATAGGCTTGGGTCTATTTTCAGTCTTTGGCAGGTAAAAAGCCAATTTTTCCATCACCATTTATTAAAGAGGTTATCGTTCTTCCAGTGAGTTTGATTGGCCCCTTTATCAAAGATGAGATGATGGACTGTGTTTTGGTTGTGGCTATTTCTTCCAGCCTGTGCCATTGATCCTCAGGTCTGTTTTTTAGCCAGTAGCAGGTTGATTTTATGACAGTAGCTTTGTAATAAAATTTCAGGTCAGGGATTGTGATTCCACCTGACTTATCCTTGTTCCCCAGGATTGCTTTTGCTATTCTGGGTCTCATCCGGTTCCAGATGAATTTCAGGCATGTTTTCCCGAGATCTGTGAGGTATGCTAATGGTAGTTTAGTGGGAATTCCATTGACTCTCTGCAGCACTTTTGGGAGTATGGTCATTTTCACAATGTTGGCTCTTCATATCCATGAGCAAGGAATATTTTTCCATTTACTGAAATCTTCTTCGATCTCTTTTTTCAGAGTACTGTAGTTTTCATTCAATAAATCTTTTACTTCTTTTGTTAGATTGATTCCTAACTTTTTCAGTTTCTTGAATATTATTGTGAAAGGTATGGTTTCTTTAATTTCTCTCTCAGTCTGTTGGTGGTTTGTGTATAGCAATGGTATCAATTTTTGGGTGTTGACTTCGTATCCAGCTACACTGCTGAGTTTGTTGATTAATTCAAGGAGTCTT